AGCAACATACATTGATAGTAAACTACGATTATATTGTGCTTAGCTTCCTGACCTAAGTGCGTTCATTGATCGTGTCACATGATGTAATTGTCCTTAGCCTCCTTTCCTAAGAACATTCATCATGCATACATTATTTTCAAGACGGGCGAGTCAATTTGACAAGAAGAAAATCCATGCGATTCACCTAGCTTTGATCAACGAGGAAGTTCAAAACTTTTTCCTTTTTTCATCTTTTTTCTTTTGGGGAAATTTAAAAACTTTTCTCCAATTTTCTCGTTTGGGGAAGTTCAAAAAAAATTTCTAAAATTTTTTCTTTTGGGAAAGTTCAAAAACATTTTCAAAAATTTATCATCGAGGGAAGTTCTAAAACTTTTACTTCATTTTTTCACGTCTTTATTTTTCGGGAGAAAGTCGGTACCCTCCACTCATGACAAAAAATGATGGAAGTTTTTGCGCGCACACTCAAACTATACATATACACACACAGTCACAAGTCATAAACATGTCAAGTCGTGTCAATTCAAGCTTAGTTGAGTCGATTGGTCAAGATTCGAGTCAATCACCATCTATACGAGTCCTTTGGCAAATTACATTTTGCAGGTCTCAGGTACAACCCACGTTTGGGGACAATCGAACCATCCACAGCTCACGTTCAGGGACAATCGAACCATCTACAACCCACGTTTAGGGACAATCGAACCATCCACAACTCACGTTCAGGGAAAATCAAACCACCTACATCCCACGTTTGGGGACAATCGAACCATCAACATTTACATCCCACGTTCGGGAACAATCAAACCATCAACATCTACATCCCACGTACGGGGACAATCGAACCATCAACTTCTACATCCCACGTTCGGGGACAATCTAACCATCAACATCTACAGCCCACGTTTGGAGACAATCGAACCATCATCATTCATCAAACACTCAGTGATTCCGAGGCGTTGAAAATCATCATTATGTAGGCTGCTCGAGGTGTAAGAGTCTACGACATGTTTCTCGAGGCATGGAAGCTTATCACCTTTTATCTAGTGGATCGCTCAAGGCGTAGTGGTTCACGACAGAATTGCCGAGACGTGGAAAATTATCATCCAGTGGATTTCTCGAGGCGTAGAAACTAACAAACGTATTTTCTAACGATACAATGGTGTCAAATACGCATGAATTATATAACCTTTGCTCTTTTATCTGTGGAACTGACACTTTTCTGCAGATATCGACGTATACAGAGTGATTTAGGGTCGCAGAACGCCTTAAATCATTCTCCGTCCCAATTGACTACTTTGACTTGAAGGATTTATGTCTTCGTCTAGTGTAATTACTAGATGTATAATGGATCAAATTATGGAGATAATTAACTTCGTCCATTTGGGTTGTTGTTATATTATAGCTAGAGATACTATTGATCTTTGGGCTAGTAAAATAGGCCAAAGCCCAATTGGACGGATTATATAAGGTCACACAAAGGGCTTAGATCAAGCATAAGAGGACGAGGCCCATGATGGGCCTCATCACTCTAGGTGGTCGGCCATGAGGCTTAGTTTGGAGGGTTTTTGGGCTTCCTAACCTAGTCGATTATAATTAGACTTGGTTCCTAGGTTTTTCGATAGAACAGTTCTACTATTAAGTTGAAACCCTAATTAGCAAACACGAGACCCAACCCCTCAAACTCCCCTCTCTCTCTCACGACTCTCTTCTTCCCTAGGCGCCGGTGGTGTGCTCAGTGGTGGTGGTGGTCGGTTGTCCAAGAAAGGTGGTGATCATGGTTTTCTCTTTCACTCGACCAATCTAGCATTGGTGGACGCTTGATCGAATCTCGTGGACTAAGTAGAGGAGTCACACTTGGGCTCTATTTTCTCCATGACTTGTCAATCGAATAGCTATGTTGAATTCACACTTCAAAGGTATAATTATGTGATTCTTGTGTGTTATGCATGCGATCTTATTTTAGGTGTGTATGAATATGATTCAAGAAATTCCGCTTATAGTACCTAAAATCCTACAGCGGTATCAGTTAGCCTCTTGCATGAACACGCTTGATTATAATAATACAATTATTTAAAGTCCATGTTCATAATTTTATAATCAATTAAGAGGGAGAAATTAATTTAATTATGGTTCAATTATTATATTAAATGTGATTTAACTCTTGGAATTGATTAAATGTGATTTAATTATGCTCAAAATAGCCTAGAGATGACCGATTATTTGCCCTAATGCATTCGAAATTTTCAGACCCTAACCCTAATTTATTTGAAATTTTCGAACATAATGAGCCTTAGAAATCCAATTTTGTGTGCTTGTTTTGCTCAATTTCGTTTTAAATATGTCTCATAATTTTAATTATATCGATTTACGCATAAAAGTGTTTTGAGTATGATCATCAATTTAATTTTAAGAGTTAGATTAAATTGAGATTAATTTTATGAAGAACCCTAATTTTAAAATTGAATAGGGATTTAATTCTAATTTTGGACTAATTTAATTAATTTTAACAAAAGTTGTTTATTAAATTAAAGACGATAAAAATAATTATTTATGTTGCCGGCAGCCATGGCTGGGCGGCGTAGCCACGGTAGTTGCCGACCGCGTCAGTCCAAGAGGGAGGGGAGTAGACTTGATCAAGTATGGCCCAACCAAGCCCGAATTTTTTTTTTGGACGGGTTTGTGAATGCGTTTTTATGCATATTTAATTTATTTTTTAGGCTTGGCCCGAAAAGCCCGCACGGCCTGATCATTTTGGTCGAGTTTGGGCACAAAAATTTCGGCACGGCCCGAGAAGTGGGAAAATTTTTTTAGCTCCGGCCCGGCCCGCCCAATGATCACCTAAATAGGGGAGGGAAGGTAGGTGGTCCAAGGTGGCTGGGCAACAGCCGTGCAAGTGTTGCAAGCTGCTGCCGTTGTTGTTGTTCCTTGCGGCAGTGGCTGTTGAAAAGCAGCTAGCCACTGTGGCTAGCCTAAGCTGGCCACGCACGGTGGCCTATAGCCAACAGCAGTGCTGCTGCCACCACTACCTTATGGCACTGGGTGCTAGGAAGGTGCCTAACCATCGTGGCTAGCCTCGGCTTGCCAACTAAGGTGGCTGGTGGTTACGGCGGTTTTTCTAAAAAAAAAAATTGTCTTAATTCATTTTCAAAATAAAATCAGATTTTATTTTGGGGATAAAATCAAATTTTCAAAAGTTATCAATTTGGTGATTATCCATAATTAAAGTGGTTAATTTTGGATAGGATTTGTTAGGATTTTTTTAGCATATTCCAAAAGGATAATAATTGATTTAAAGAATGTGATTATCCCATAATTAGATTTGGATATAATTGATTTAAAAATTATTTGATTGGCTAGTAATTAGGATACAATCTCCTAAATTAGTTAGGATAATCATGGAAAATAAATATGATTTATCTTTCCATATTAAAATAAGATTTGATTCTATCTCATGCCAAATTTAAAATATATGATATTTTATGGATGGCAATGAATAATATATGATATTATCTAATTATGAATTAAAAATATGAGATATTTTAGGAATTACCTTGCCTTAATTGTGAGCATTCGATGTTGTAGTTTAGGCAAGGATGTTGAGTGATTTATTATATGACACTTTTATATAATATATGATATTATGTTGCTATATATAGACTAGTATGTCTCATAGATTCTAAATACGATCTGCGCATCGTGATGTATTTTTGTAATCTAAATAAAGATCTGCGTACCGTTAAGTATTTTTGTAACTTTTCATTAAAAGTATATAGATAAGTTATTTGAATAGTTTAGTCCAAAGAAGCCCATGAAGTGAAGGCCCAAAGGAGCAAGGTGGATGAAGATCCATGAAGGTTCAAGTGCAAGCATTTCTATTTAGTTTCTTAGGACTTAGGGGCCATACTATGTCATGTTTTATTTATGCATTAGTAGATTATGCACGTTAGATTTTATTGATGTTTGTGATGATGCGCTAGAGTTCATTAAAATTCACAACATAATAAATCTAGATCTCGATAATATTGAGATTTCTTTTTCAATTATATACTAACAACCCTTCGATCGTGAGTGATGGGTCTGCCTCCGCAGGGTGTCACTTGTTATCTTAGGTAATTCGAGGTAGATCACGTTTCACACATTTAATTGGTTGTGCTTAACAAGGTTACCTAAAGCGTTTAGAACCTTGAAGCAAAGGGTAATAATTAAACATGTGATGGTTAATTATTCAACTAAGAGTTACAAGAGTTGTAATCAGTAAAGAGTTTACTCACCTTGAAAATGTAATGCTTGATGGTAGGGCCTTAGTCTGGTCAACTATTACACAAATAAAGGATATTGGAATCAATTAATTCAAATGGGATCATTTTATATTGAATAAAGTGCTTTAAAGTAACCTATTTAAATTGTTTATGGTACTTAAATTTTATTAAACATAATTATTAAACTTTACCTTATTCTGTAATAGATGGGTAGCCATAACAATGACAACAACATTTACAACCTTCGACCATTCCTTGAGAAGGATAGGTTGACAGGAGACAACTTTTCCAACTGGGAAAGAATGCTGTGACTTGTTCTGAAATCTGAAGATAGAGAGGATGTCATTGACACCCCATTGCCTGCACCTTTTCCAGAAAATGCAACTGAGGCTCAAAAGTGTAGGCATAAGGAGACTCTTGACAAAACACTACCAATCACCTGCTTGATGATAGCTACTATGGAGCCTTCAAAAGCGTTTTGACGACCAGGATGCATACACCATCATGCAAGAACTCAAAGCCTTATTTAAGAAACAAGCATAAGTTGAGAGGTACGAGCTCCATCGAGAGATTTTAGATTGTAAGATGGAGAAGGGTGTAACAATTCATGATCATGTTTTCAAAATGATTGGCCTAATTCAAAATATGGAGAAACTGGGGCACCCATACAACAATGAGATGGCTACTGACATCATTCTCCACTCACTTCTAGAATCCTTTATTTAGTTTATCATGAACTTTAACATGTCTGATGCTGAGAAGACAATGAATGAGTTGCATGCTATGCTGGTTAGTACAGAGAAGCAAATCCCCAAGGACGTTAAGAAAGAGGTTATTATGGTCCAGAAAGGGAAGGGGTTCAAGAAGAAGGGGCAAGGGGCAAGTGCCAAGAGCAAGGGCAAGAAAGTTGCCAAGGCTCCTGAAAAGCGCAAAGCGACTCCAATGCCCAAACCTACAAGTGAAAGTGATTGCTTTTACTGCAAGAAGAAAGGGCATTGGAAGCGCAACCGCCAGAAATACCTAGACTACCTCAAGAAGAATGGAGCATCGGCCTCAGGTAACATGTTATAAACATTTTAACTTTAACTTAGGTATGTGATACCAAGTTGCAGTGCTAACATTATTCATGTTGTGAAGAAACTGCAAAGAAGTGAGGCTAGTAGACTATTTCCAGTTTTTGATGAGACAATATTTCAATATTTTATTGAAATACTGATTGTTTTACTTGGCATGGACAAGTGTTGATCCATGACAAGGTAATAAATTGTTTTCATTTTCCTAGCTATGAGTTAATTTTATTTTATAACATTGATGTAAGTTGATCACAAAAACGAAAATAAATGATTCAAAACTAACCTACTTATAACATAGTAGGGTTAGGTCACATAAACCTAACGGCAAAGATCTCAACCAGACAGATACCTCGGTATCGTCTTAACCGATGATCAGGACATCCTAGTTATGGATGGTGATGAGCCAGCACATACAAGCAAGCTATGACGAGCCCCGACTTTGCAAAATGGCCAGAGGCCATGAGATCCGAGATGGACTCCATGTCTGAAAATCAAGTCTGGGACTTGGTAAATTTGCCCGAGGGTTATACACCCATTGGTTGCAAATGGATCTTCAAAGTGAAGACAGACAAGGATGGAAATGTATCGATATACAAAGCTAGACTGGTGGCAAAAGGCTATAGACAAATCCACGGGATTGACTATGATGAAACTTTTTCACCAGTTGCAATGCTAAAATCCGTCCGGATCATCCTAGCGATTGCTGCATATTACGATTATGAAATATGGCAGATGGATGTCAAAACCGCCTTCCTAAATGGAATTTTGGAAGAAACTGTGTATATGACACATCCAGAAGGTTTTTTCGATCTAGGCAACGCTGGAAAGGTTTGCAAGCTGATGAAGTCCATTTATGGGCTAAAGCAAGCCAGCAGAAGTTGGAATCTGCAATTTGATGAAGCTATTAACAAGTTTGGTTTTATTAAAAATCCAGATGAATCTTGTGTATACAAGAAGGTAAGTGGGAGTGATATTGCATTCCTAGTATTGTATGTTGATGACATACTTCTCATTGGAAACAGCACAAAATTACTGGAGTCCACAAAGGGCTGGTTGGGAAAGTGCTTTTCAATGAAGGACGTAGGAGAGGCACAGTACATATTGGGCATCAAGATCAACAGAGATAGATCTAAAAGAATGATTGGATTAAGCAAGAGTACTTACATTGATAAAGTACTAGCTCGATTCAACATGGAGACTGCTAAGAGAGGGCATTTACCCATTTCTCATGGCATAACTCTCAGCAAGAAACAGTGTCCACAGACACTTGTTGAGCGAGAAAGAATGAATCAGATCCCATATGCTTCGCTGATCGGATCGATCATGTATGCCTTGATATGCCCTGAGTGCAACGAGCCCATACCAATCAAACCCAGGAGAGGCGCATTGGACTACGGCCAAGAATATTCTAAAGTACCTGAAAAGGAACAAGGATAAATTCCTGGTGTATGGAGGCCACAAAGAACTGGTTGTTGAAGGTTACACCGACGCTAGCCCCAGACTGACAGAGACGACTTCAAGTCACAGTCAAGGTACATATTTTGCCTAAATGAAGGAGCATTTAGCTGGAAGAGTGCCAAGCAGAGCACCACTGCAGACTTTACAACTGAAGCCGAGTACTTGACCGCTTTAAAAGCTGCCAAGGAAGCTGTTTGGATTCGCAAGTTCATCAGTGAACTTGGTGTTGTACCCTCAATCACGGGGCCGATAGACCTCTATTGTGATAACAATGGAGCTATCGCTCAGGCCAGGGAGCCGAGAGAACACCAGAAGGTCAAACACGTGCGATTTCACATGATAAGGGAATGGAAATCCGAAGGTGAAATCAGAATTTGTAAGATTGGCACAGATGATAATGTGGCCGATCCTTTGACTAAACCGCTGCCTTAGGTGAAACACAACAAGCACATTGAGACGATGGGAATCAAGCATGTTGGAGACTGGCTTTGAAATTCCATGTACATGTGTTTTAATTAAACTGGTTGATTTAATGTAAGACACTGTATTGAAACCATTCATTAATGGAGTAATTAATTTTGCGCAAAATTATCATTCACTCCATTACTATTTAATTATGGTTTAGAATTAAATAATGAGTCCATTCGATTTACGAAAAATATTCAAAACAGGGTATCAAGACCATGTCTTGGATAAAGAAACACCTGTGAAGTGAACATTGAATATTTAAATAGAAAATTATCCCTAATCGAGGTCATCTAACGGATGGAGGATTGATGACCGCCATAGATTAGTGTGTAGTATGATTTACAGCACCATTTCTTGTGTTGCGGGGACGTGACAGTCATAAATCATTTGCATAGGTACAGTTTGGAACTGTACTGGATAAGACCTATGAGAGTACTTTAAGAAATATAAAAATTGTCATAAGTACATTTCTCATTATGACTATCGGAACCTGTTTCCTCCGACCATGAGTATTGTGAAGTTTTCTTGTTTGAGTACTAGACTCTTTGATGTTTCCTAACGTCTGCCGTAACTAGGGATCATAACGGGAACACTCGGGAGACTAAGAACTCTTAGTAAGAGGAACTTACAATGCAAGATTGGGATTGTCCCCCTATTAACAATAGGGAAAATGTTTTGTTGTTAACAAGGCCGCTCGAAGAGCGAGACTGTGAAAATGCATGGTCGTGCTAAGATGGATTTTAGAAATCATTTGCTTATTGACAGTCGAACTCGGAGATCGAGAAACACTTCTGAACGTAATAAGCATGACGATGAATCTTACCTTATAGTTCACGAAGAAACATTAAGAGACATTGGAAATGGGCTATACACTGTATGCACACTTGTCCGGAAGGACAAGTGGGAGATTAAAAGGAATGGTGTCCTTCCAACAAGTGTATTCTTCTGATAGAGGGTTCAGAATTATTACAGAGTTAATTCTTCAGTAAGATCAAGTGATCGGAATGCCTAGGTGGAGGCCGCTTCCGATTAGTAATATCGAGGTACGATTGATATTATAGCTTAATCTTAACTGAACCCTTCGGATCGAACCCAATCGAATCACCGATTCGAGACGACGAATTAATCTGAAAGAATTTAATGAGTCGACAGAGTTTTACGAATAGAGACGTCGGATATCGAGCCTAGAGCGTCGAGACCGAGCGTCGCAGAATCACAAAGCAACAAGTATGAACATAGCCCTAGCACCACACTGGCCTAGCCATGTGGATGCTAGGCTAGTTCAAGCTAGCATGCACCTAGCATGGCTAGGTGAAAGCCTAAGCACACTAGGTGTGCTAGGCGAACCATCGCTGGCCTATCGCAAGCACTAGGCGCACCAGGTGCACCTGGCTGCCTATCGCAAGCACTAGGCGCACCAGACAGCTCATCGCAGCCTGCGTGCTGGCTTGCGTGCTAGCCTTCTCATGGCAGCACCAAGCAGCGCACCATGCGTGTGCGAGGGCCTGGGCGCCAGCACATTGCTAGGCCACGCACAGCAGCCCAGCATCGCTACGCACCAACGGCTGCTAGGGGATGCGTGGGTGTGCGTGAGATGCTAGTGCATGTGCGTATGCCAGAGGTGCTGCGAGGCTGATGCGTATGGTGCGAGGCAAAGGGGGCCACCATGCGTGGCCCGCTAGCAGCACGCATGCTGGCTATGCGAGCATGTGACAGAGGTGCAACGGGAATGCGTGTGGTGCGTGGGATGCTGGGGCCAGCGCCAGCACGATGTGCTAGCAGCGCTAGGCGCTAGCACAAAACACCAGCACCAGCACAGCCTAGCACCAGCGTGCACTGGCTAGCTGGGATGCTGGGCAGCAAGGTAGTGCTAGCTGGCAGCACTAGCTGGCACGCTAGCTGGCAGCCAGCTAGCCCTCCTTGACCCGGTTTTGTGCATGCATGTGGGGACCAATCAAGGGCCTTGGGGAGCAAGGCAAATGGTCCCCCCTCCTAGCCTTGGCCATCACTCATTTGCATATGATTGTGCCACTTGCCGCAATTTGATTAAGTTGATTATTTATTTAATTTAGAATTAAATAAATTGTTGATTTTACCAACTCTCCCACATTGATGGGAGATTGGAAATCAAGGGTGCATTTCCCTATATATACTAAAGGCATGGTATTGGGAAATGTACAACCTTGAGTGGAATTAAAAAGGCAACTCTTATAATTAGAGTAAACCTTTGATTCGTAAAACTCATAGTTTTGTTTTGTCCGGGTCTTGACTAACCTTCAAGACATAGGACACTCGGGTCGGGTTGAGGGTACGATCCGTCGGAGATCTCGTAGTTTCATGATTTTGAAGTAAGAGCTCTTCGGGAGCGAAGCACGCAACAAAGGTATAATTCTTGTTCTTAGTCTTGTTTGATTAAGTTTATTATGCTTGTTAATTGCTTTAATTAAGGGGCGGGTCTTAGGGGGTTTCCTTCCGCGTAGTGTCGGGTCACTACGAAACCCTACAGAAATCAGCCTTTTATTTATAGAAGAAATATGAGGGGTGAGGCACGAAACCTTAGAAATGAAAAGCGCCTCGGAAAAAACCCTAGAAATTGCCGTGTCACGGCACAGTTTGCCGTGACACGGAAAATCTGCTGTTGCGCGACAAACATGTTTTCCTGAATTCGGTCTAAATACATTTTATCTTCTTATCAAGCATTAAGCACGTGATAAATTAGGCGTCGTTTCAGTGTTATGGACTTATTCTAGGCTTAGGGTTTTAATATTTATTAATCGGGCTTACTTAATAAACATAACGAAATGGATTAAAATGGGGTTTGGGCTAAAATGAGGGTTGGACTACACTTTGACTAAATACTTGGACTAATCTGTTGACTGATTTGTAAAGTATGTTTTACTTAATAAGCACTACCAAGATTAAATACTCGACCCAACCAATAATGGCGGTGAAAGGTTGTTCGTCATCGGGTTTGGTTTTGGGGAGACATTTTTAGATGTCTACAGAAGCCCCAACTTTGACTGAGTTTGTAAAAACGTGAGTTTCGAAAACGATAGTCATGTAGGACTTTAG